CGCAGCGATTGCCGCTCAAGTCCCCCCTGCGCTGTCACCACTCCTTCTAATGCCGGAGCAACATGCCGTCGGGGGCCCACTGCAATCTGAGAAAGGTCATATATCCAGAGCCGCTCAGGAAGATGCGGGCGACATGTCGTCAATTGAGTCATGGCCGCATTCGCCGTGAACTTGGCGAAGCGGGTGCCGCCCCTCAAGCCCTGAACGAGTGGCTTGGAAAGGGCGCGAGGCCACACTCGCTTGTGCAAGCAACCGAGGGCCGGCTCAAACCTGCGACTCCAAACGTAATGTTATGGCTGGAAAGATGCATTCCAGCGCTCGTTCAATACAAATCGGCCACTCGATCTCGTCGTAGAAACTTTTGATGTCCAAGGGTGCGTGGCCCTGCGCGGACCGCAACCGAAATAACAACTCTTCGTCCACGGCGCGCATGTAGGCCCCCTTCAAGGCCGAGTTGCCCGCGCATGCTGCGTCCCAATCTGTGCGCGTGGTAGAATTCTACGCCTTAGTGTGCGACTCTCTGGCCACCGACCAGATTCTACACATAACGCACACCAAGCCGATGATGCGATCCCCTTACGACTTCTTCGGCACAAGTCGTCCCAGCACTGCAAGGAGTTGCCAGGGCCAAGTGCCGCATTGCTCGGGCGTGTTGAGGATCGTGGCGAGCTCGATGATGGCCTCCGTCGGCAGCCGACCTAGACCCGCTGGACAGAGTCGGTCCAAACCTTGCCTGACTTGCCCCTTCATGTCGTGAATAGCCTGGCTGACCTCCTCGGTGCTCAGAGGCGGCAAGGCCCCCTCGATCGCCCGAGAGCGCAGCTGCGAGAACACATCGACAATGGAACTACGATCAACATGCTTACTAGATCTCCAGAGCTCATGCCAATGGGCCGTCTTCTTCTCGACTGCGCACCTGGGATGGTATATGACTCGACTCCAACGTTGTCGTCGTCGATCTCGCTCTTGGCGCAAGGTGACGGCGTGGTGGCTCTGAAGAGTCGCCCTGTGTTCCCATTATCCATGATCCATTGCTTACAATTTCGTAACGGACGGTTGGTGGCTTTGGTACGAGCTCGTCTAACACTGCCTTCCATCTCTTGACAAGCTGCTTGCAGCCCTCCTAGAGGCTGCTCACCCAAGCGCCCAAGAACGATTTGCCAGTGCTGCCATGTCGTAGCTGTCGGTAGCTTGCCAACAAACTTGTGTGTACTACCCTGGTTGTGACCAGCGAGCTTGACTGCCGCCGCCGGGAGTGCCACGCCCTGCTTCGATCCATTATGCTTGGTAATGTGGTGCATGACCTGGCGAGTAAGTGTGTGAGCCCAAGCCCACCGATTTGCCGCCACGTCGTAGAAACGAAAATGTGAACTATCCTGCGCTCGATGTGCTTCCAACCTGGGTCCGTCAGCACGGGCAGGCTTGGTACAGTCCTACTCTAGACCGTGATGCCACCATATGCACTTTCATCGATCCATCCAGCAAAAAGCCCGCTGACTGGTAAGACATATTCCCCAGCTGCTTGGTATGCCAGGGACTCGCGAATAGGAATCCAAACATGATGCTCCTCATGCACGTGGAAGCCAGAACTGGCTCGAGCCAAAAACCACGTGGAAGCAGGAACGGAGTAAGACACGCCAGCAGCAGCATGGGCCTCGGAGGTGGAAGGGTCGGGAGAAACCCGATCAACCTCATCAGACTGCTCGCCATGCTGCTTGGGGGTCGGGGTCTCGCTCGGGGAGGTCCTCAAATCGATCCCTGACTTCGACGAGTGGGGCCCGTCGGCTCCAGTGGAATTCGCGGCAGGAATACTCCGCTGAGAGACGGGCAGACCCTTTTCCCTCTTCGCAGAGGCTCGCACATGCAACAGGTTGGAAAGCGGACTCGTCAGCCCAGGGATCATTTTCGTCATCGCCCAACGGCTCAACTGAAACAGCGAAATCGGGACAGACTATACCAGGCTCGGGTGGGGTGGCGCTGGGGCCCTGCTCGCTTTGGGTGGCAGGCGGCCCTGCTGTGCCATCTGAATCCCGATCCCAGAGGTCCCCGAACAGTTTGACAGAATGCTCAACTTGATGTTGAAACGAAAGGGCCCTCTGAGTAGCACGCTCCTGTTTGCCTCGGGACGACTTGCTGCCCGCCAAGGGAGCCGCCTTGGGACGACCGACCCGCGGGGACCGCGAAGCAAGGCGTAGCGACCGATAAATCAGCTGGGCCCCAGAGCCTCGGAGCTGGATAGCTAAACCTATATGCGGCCGCCAGGGCACATCAAAAACAGCGTGGAGACCTAAGATGTAGGGTAAGGCGGCAGGAGAAGCGAGAGCATAGTCGATATGTGACGCTCCCTGGGTACTGATACACGTGGACTCGACTGGAGCCCGCAAAACCGTGGCCCCCACTTTATCGACAAAACCCGCAGAGACGAGGGTGGGGGCAGAGACATTGAAATCTCCTATCGCAATCTAGGGAAGCTGCATAGCTCTCAAAATACTGCCTAATCTGGTGAACCGAATGATGTTTCCACCACGATATCCTACATAATGGTGCCCATAACACACTCTGATGACTAAGCTGTAGCCGGAGGAGGAGAGGAGGAGGAGGACGAGGAGGAGGAGGACAATGAGGAGGACGGGGATGGGGGAGGAGGGGGAGGGGGAGGAGGAAGAGGGGGAGGGGGAGGATGAGGAGGATGAGGGGGAGAAGGAGGAGGAGAAGGAGGAGGAGTGAGTGAGTGAGTGAGAACGATCGCGGAGCGATACTAGCAAACAAATGAGCACATAGACAGCCATGCTCAGGTCAGGGGGCGATCAACACAATGTACCTGTGGTTGCTACTCATCATGCGTATGATTGCCGCTGAAACAAACACTGAAACGGGTGGCGTCGAAGCCGCTGGGCGGAGGCGGGATCTGGTTCTCGAGGGACACCGGACCACATAAGCATACACTTTTGGAGGTCTGCATGGATTTCTTGGATCCTGCGCGAGGGCCACCCTCCCTGGCGCGCGGAGCGCGCCAGGAGCGTCGCCGGCGGCGCCGCCTGTGGGGGCCCTAGCGCAGATCCAAGACATCCGCGCGGAGCGCCAAAAGTTCATGTTTATGCCGTTGTTGTTCTTCTTCGAGGCTCGGGGGGGGGCTGGTCTCTGGCGGGCTGCGGCGTGCCCTCCGAGGGGCAGTGGAGGCTCAGGGAGGCATGCGGACAGGAGCGACGAAGGCCTCAAGCCACGCCGGGCCCAACATGTGCCCCATGGGCACGCCGTCAAAGAATGCCATGCCGGCCACCCGCCCGCACCTCCCCCTCAACTCATGTGTGCGAGCCGCACGCGCGCGCGCACGAATCGAGGAGCACCGACACTTGTCAAATGATGCGGTGCAAGCGATGCGCGCGCGGTCTATTACAGGCACCGTCCACGTCGAATCCTACCACGTGGGCCACCCGCGCGCGCCAATTTTCGTCAGCGCAGGTAAATATTCGGACGCGCGGGTTGGTCCATAGATTCGAGCGGTGTAGACTGGCGAAAGCACTTTGCAATAACATGGCGCGACGACGTATCTCGCCTGGAGGAGGATGCAACAGAAGGACGGACATCCAATCCGTATGCGAACGCTCATTGACGGGGGGAACCCTGTCAGCATTCGTGTGGTCCATGCACTCCAACTCGGGACGTGAAAAGGATGGAGTATGGATGCTGAAAGAACTTGGGTCCGTAGGACAGATTGCCATCCGCGTCCGCACTGAGGCCCTCGTGGCGTTGGGGCGTGGGCAGGGGCATTTGGACACCGCCCAATGTGTCTCAGTGTAGCGCAACCTCGCCAATACATCGGCAACGTGAGGTTGAAAAAAAAGGCAAGGCAATCGTGGTCCGCAGCGAACCGCGTCGTCGGTGTATCGGCGACGCGGCGCGCGGATCCCATCTGGGCCGTGAAGCAAAGGCGTCCAGAGGGGAACAGGTTCCTGGACAACAGGGCTTCCCCATGGACCAATTGTTCATCCCGAGTGGGCTTTTGGTGGCCTTGGGCCCCAGGACGGGCCCGAGAAGCCCAGAGCTGGGGCAGCGCAGGGGTGCTGATGCCGCTGCTTCCTGGATCTCTCCCAAGATGCGTCCTGCCCAGCATCTCCAGGAGACGGAGGGCAGCCCAGGAGCCCCAGGGAGGCCAAAACGAGGGAAGGGTGGCGGTGGCGGCACCGAAGCCCTCTTCCTCCTCTTGAGGACCAGCGGGAGATCTCAGGACCCCTCCCTATCCTGGCGAAGGCAGGCATCGACCGCCGCAGGGGATCTGGACGCCCGGAATGGGTGCAGAAAAAATGGGCACAATGCCCAGCAACAGATGTTGTCCCAAACCGACAGTGGCCGCTGTTGGGCTGGCGGCGGTTTGCATTCAGAGAACAAAGCGTCTGCGGCGGCCTGGACAGCGAGTCCTTTTCAAAATGAACAAGAACTGTTGTTGGGTATTGCACTCAATCTTTCCGTACCCAGTTCGATTGTCCCGAGGAGAGTGGGCCAGACTCCGAAGGAGACATCTCTAGAAGGAGAAAAAACGCCATAAACACAAACGTTTGGCGCTCCGAGCGGATTTCTTGGATCCGCGCTGGACCCAGCGCGCCAGGGGCGGTGCCAGAGGCGCCGCCGGGGGGCCCCAGCGCGGATCTAAGAATTCCGCGCGGAACGCCAACAACTCTTGAGCAGGGACCGACCGTCCCGGCATTCCTATAGTCCTACCACGACATGTCCTTAGAACCAACAAATGTTCTAAAAACAAAAACCATGTTCTTAGAACATAAGCCTCATGCGTTCAAACAAGACAATCCCAGCCAGAAATGTTCTAAGAACAGTTCGTGGAAACCGCAACAGGTTCTTAGAACATTGTTCGGTAGGGCTACAGGCACGCCGGGACGCTTCGCCACTGCTTGGAACTCGCGTTTATGCCTTTTTGTCCTCTTCGAAGGGTGGGCTAGACCCCGGAAGCGAAGCATCTCCCCGGGGGCGGCGGGGGGCGGCTCCCAGTGGAGGCGCAGCCGCACTGCTCGTTCTCCTCCTTCCCCCCCGCGCCGTCTTTGAGGACGAGGCGGCAAGAGCGCGGTGGCAGCCCGGGAGGAGGAGGAGGAGGAGGAGGAGGAGGAGGAGGAGGAGGGGGAGGAGCAGTGAAAACACAAGAGTCATCAACGATGTTGGAATAAACCCTCCCTCCAAGCTGCCTCTTCAGAGGCCCCTACAACGGTTCATTTCCAGTGGGAACTGCTTCGTTGGAAGACAACCGTTTGAAAACGACCCTGAAACATGCCAAAACAATTTTCTCGGGACTCCAACGCCACGGATCAACCTGACTGTTGCGTCTTGACGATCCAGAATCGTGCCAGAACGCCATTCCTGGGACTTCAACACCGCGAATCAATGCAACTGCACCCTCAGAGCACAGAATCTACCAACACACCTTTTCTCGTTCGTTGATCATGGGGGTCCGCGGGCCACTTGACATTTTTGTTATACGAGTGCGCGCGGCTCTGAGGCGAGAGCCACATGTCGAAAAGAGAAATGCTTGCAAATGTTTACGAACGAATGTGCGCGGCGCTAGGGCGAGAAACAAATTCAAAAAGCGGCCCGCCCTCAATCCGTAAAGCCCCTGCAAGTGTTTAAAACGAATGTACGCGGCGCTCAGGCGAGCACCACATTTTGAACACGATCCGCCCTCAATCCGTGAAGCTCTTGTAAATGTTTAAAACACATGTGCGCGGCGCTAAGGCGAGAGCCACACATTGAAAACCACCCGCCCTCCATCTGCGAAACTGCTGCCAATGTTTAGTATTCACATTGGTACATGGTTAAGGAATCTCAAGCGAAACGCCCGGCCCGCCCTTTCGACCTGCCTCGGGGAGCGACAGGAAGAAAACATATATACGGGAAAAGACATGGAGAAAGAGGAGCAGGAGGAGGTCGAGGAGGAGGGGGAGGAGGAGGAGGAGGAGGAGGAGGAGGAGGAGGAGGAGGAGGAGGGGAGGAGGAGGAGGGGGAGGGGGAGGAGGAGGAGGAGGAGGAGGAGGAGGGGAGGAGGAGGAGGAGGAGGAGGAGGAGGAGAAAGATGAGGAGGAGGATGAGGAGGAGGAGGGGGGGAGGAGGAGCAGGAGCAGGAGGAGAGGAGAGGAGGAGGAGGAGGAGGAGGAGGAGGAGGAGGAGGAGGAGGGGAGGGAGGAGAGGGGGGGGGAGACACCATCGGCGTTGCATCGACGTTTCATCGCAGATGGATCGGCGATGTGCCTCCTCCGAGAGCGGGCCCGCGCGCTCCCGGGCAGGGTGTGCTGTCGGGCCCCACTCGGCGATCCATAGGCGACTGGGGATCGATGCGCCCCCCCCTCCGTCGGGGGTTGCTAAGAATGCCCCTGGCCCATGGTGTCCCCAGCTTTCCGCTCGACTTTCGAACCCCTGGGGAACTCTGGGCCTCGCGAGGGGTGCTCTCTCTGGAGACCTTCGTGGCCCCCTTTGCAAATCCTGGGGGCACCTTGGGCCAGGGGTACTGCCAACAACATTCGTCCCTGAACCTATCCCCCCCGACGCTGCCCCCGGTGTTCGACCCCGCTTTCCTCCTCGCAGACCCCGTCCAAATGGAGGAGAGAGGTAGGCAAAACAAACCATGATCTGCTCCCCGTGGCCTATTCGGGCCTGCGTCAAGCGGTGGCGAGATTTGTATCCCTGTTGACTCACAAGGCGTTCGATGAACGATCAGTGAACAACTTTTGCCGAAGCGAAACAAGGTGAATTGAGACGAAACCGACGCCACGGAACGTCGACATGACGGTGCAAGCTGCAGAAAACCCCTCCCCAGAAAAACCCGCCGCCGTGTTGGCACCCCAGGAGGTCTCGTGCCGGTCCGCTTTCGGCAGCTCGCACTTGGGGGGGGCAGGGCGGCCAGGATTAGGTCGGGCATGTCCTCCTGCAGGGTTTTTTTGGGCGAGAGTTAAAATAGTCAAAACATACCCAGAAATAGCAAAGAAGACTAAACAGACTCGTCTCCAGACTATCTTTTTAAACCATTTATGAATCTTCCTCCTGTAGAGGGACGCGCCCGACGCAAGGCTAAGATGGAGCCCGGTAGTGGTCAGGAGGCGGTTACGAACAAGTTACGAACAAGGTTTAGGGCCGGGGCCTCGGCGAGTGAAGGCAAGGGGCCTCCAAGAAGATCCCCTGCCCTCTTCGGAGCCGTCCTGGGCCCCCCCGATCCCTGCCCAGAAGTGCGGCGGCTCCGTGTCGTGACGTCTTCGGCGCCGGCTTTTCTGGCACTGCGCGGATCGTTCAACCTCGAATGATCGGCGGCTCTTCGATGGCCAAAGCGTCTGGAGGAGGAGGGAGGGAGGAAGAGGAGGAGGAGGAGGAGGAGGGAGGGAGGGAGGAGGAGGAGGAGGAGAAGCGTTCCGCGGTGGCCGCTTCTGGGCCGCTGGCCGCGTGGAACCTTGAGATGGCCCGAGCTGGGGCCGTCGCCGCGCCGGCACGGCACGAACCCACCGTGCACGACCTCCTCAGAAGCCTCCCCCTCACGGCGCGCCGCTAACTTTCTCTCTCGCAGTTCCACCATGAATCCATCAAAGCACATGCACAAATGAGGAAGGAGGGGGAGGAAGAGGGACCAGGCTACCCGCCGCCGCCGCCTGGCCCGCGGCCCAACTTTCTCTCTCTCTCTCTCTCTCTCTCTCTCCCGACGAGCCAATAACTGGGGGAGCTGTGGTCCTTAAACCCCCTGGGGGGGACCCATCGCATCGACGATCTCTCGAGAAGGGCGTCAAAATCGCTGGGCCCCCCAGGGGGGAAGGACCACAGCTCCCCCCAGTTGTGGCTGGCCTGCTTTCGCGCCGCGGTGGACACGCCGCGGCGCGTCAAGAGGATCTGCCTGCATGCCGCTCCCTCGAGCACGCGGGGGGCCGGGGCGGCCGGGCGGCGAAGTCGCCCGCTAGTGTTCCAAGGCTTCGCGCACACAGCGTGGAGAATCCCCCCCCCTTTAAGCCAGGACGAGGATGACTTCGGGTGAGGCTAGATCGAGAACCCCTGAGATGCGGCGGCTCTGGGTGGTGTCCCAGGCGCCGCGACCTTCTCAGAGCGTCCCGGAACGCTTTGAGGGGCTTCTGGAACGCTCTGAAACGGATGGTCCATCTGGCCCCGTGATGGTATAACAAAACCCAAGGGCCCCCCCCCAAGCGCTTCTGAGAAAACCGCAGAAAAGCTTCACGAAGCTCCCAGACCTCCCCACCCGCACGGGCTCCATGAGCCCGACGAGCAGCCCCCCAGAGTCCCAAGACAGCCCCGACGGGCCGCCGAGGAGGAGGAGGAAGAGGAGAAAGAAGAGGAGAAGGAGGAGGAGGAGGCGGCGGAGGAAGAAGGATGATGTTCGCTTCCGAAGGCCGTCCGACCCCTCCTCCTCGCAGCCAAATCGTGTGTTCGTTCTTTCATGCCCTCGGGTCCAAAACACCAGGTGCTCCTGTGAATGCCCGCAGGCGCGGCCCGAGCGCCCGCGAGCAGCAGGAACCACGGCTGACCCACCCAGAGACGAGTCGAGTCCGCAACGAGAAGAGCGAGAAGAAGAGAGCACCGTGCATCGGCCGTCGCGCACACTTCATCCTTGCTCCTCTGCTTCCCTCTCCTCCTCCTCCTCATCATCATCATCATCACCACCACCACCAGCACCACCACCACCATCATCATCATCATCATCATCACCACCACCATCATCATCAGCAGCAGCATCATCATCAGCATCAGCATCAGCATTAGCATCATCATCAACAACAACAGCATCATCATCAGCATCAGCACCACCACCATCATCATCACCACTACCACCATCATCATCATCACCACCACCATCATCATCATCATCATCATCATCAGCATCAGCATCAGCATCAGCATCAGCATCAGCATCAGCATCAGCATCACCATCAGCATCAGCATCAGCATCAGCATCATCAGCATCAGCATCAGCATCAGCATCATCCTCATCCTCATCCTCATCCTCATCCTCATCATATTCATCATATTCATCATCATCATCATCATCATCATCATCATCGTCATCATCATCATCATCATCATCATCATCATCATCATCAGCATAATCATCATCACCATCACCATCACCATCACCATCACCATCACCATCATCATCAGCACCAGCAGCATCAGCATCAGCATCATCATCCTCCTCCTCCTCCTCATCATCATCATCCTCATCATCAGCAGCAGCATCTGTTCTCCTCCTTCTCCTCCTCCTCCTCTTCCTCCTCCTCCCTCCTCCTCCTCCTCCTCCTCCTCCTCCTCCTCCTCCTCCTCCCTCCCCCTCCCTCTACCCCGCCTCCTCTCCTCCTCCTCCACTTGCTTTGCTGCTGCTGCTGCACCTCCCTCCCTCCCCCTTTTGCTCTCCCATGAAATGTCCTCCTCCTCCTCCTCCTCCTGCCCCCCTCCTCCTCCACCTCCTCCTCCTCCTCCACCTCATCATTTCTCCCCCCCTTCCACCCGTCTGTGGAAAGGCACTTCTGTGGCCCAGACGGCGAAGCGCGGTCGTCTTCGCGCCCCCGATCATGATCCAAGGCTCCCTCCCTTTCTGGGTGTACTCTGTTGAGCAGGGACCGACCGTCCCGGCATTCCTATAGCCCGACCACGACATGTTCTTAGAACCCAAACATGTTCAAAAAACAACAGCCATATTCTTGGAGCATTAACCCGATGTGTGGAAGCAGGACAGTCTCAGCCAGAACTGTTCTAAGAACAAATCGTGCAGACCACGAACAGCTCTTAGAACATTATGCTGTGGGCCTATGGGCGACCCAGGACGCTTCGCCACCGCTTGACTCTGAGCAACGTTATCTTGTAGTCTCACAAGCCAGCGCTGTTGCGTCGGCTACCGTTCCCACGCCGCGCTGGACGCTTCTGGTCACGACCGCGCCCGAGGCGGGCCTGCCACTCCGAGACCTCTCCGAACTGGCCTCCCGCGAGTCGATCGTCCAGAATTGGTCATCCTAATCGCCCTCATGCCGCGGGGGCAGCGACGGGATCCAGGCCGAGGCGCACTGCCGATGAAACGCGGGCGCTCCTTGGCGTGGCCTGCCCATCACCGGAGCGTCGGCGCTGCGTGTGCGGCCCCATGGTCGAAGGATTCGCTGCACGCCTGCTCGAATCCGCTCGGCACACCGCTTGGCATCAGCGCGGCGAGCACCGTCCATCGGCACGCCGCCGACATCCAATCCAATTCAGGCCCCCACCTCCCCTCCCTCGTGGCGCCACTCCTCCGCGCCCCTCCTACGCCAGCGGCCCCCCTCCCCCTCCCCGCCCCTCTGCTCGCGCCCCTCCCCTCCCGACCTGCACCCCGGCTCCCCGTGCCGTCCTCCACTTTCTCCCTCCCTCGTCTCTGGAAGGAGACACAACGCCACAGACATAAACTGTTGGCGCTCCGCGCGGGTTTCTTGGATCTGCGCTGGACCCCCCTTCCTGGCGCGCGGAGCGCGCTGGGGGCGGCGCCGGAGGCGCCGCCAGGGGGGCCCAGCGCGGATCCAAGAAATCCGCGCGGAGCGTCGACAGTTTATTTTGATAGCGTTTTTCCTTCTTGGATTGCCTCTCCCTCGCCGCGCTGCCCTGCCCCAACCGCCCCCTCCGGCGCGAGGATGGAGACGACGGCCGTGTGCTGTCCGCCTCCGCTCCCGCTCGCGCTGGTCGGGCGCGGCCAGGAGGGGGGCGTCCAAGAATTGGGGGGGCGCAAGTCCTGGCAGGCGGCACGTGCGCGGCCAAGGGGGGGGGGCGGGGACGTCATGAAACGAGAAGAGGCGCCATGAAGTCTGGGGAAAAGTCATGGCCCCCGCCATGAGATCCCCTCCCCCCCGGTCACAGCCCCCCCTCTTGGCCGCCCCCGGGCGCTGGGGCTCGAGGGGCCCACGCGCGCTGGGGCCGGAGAGCACGCGAGGCTGCGCGAGGTGCCGCCAGAGGCTCCGCCGCGCGCCGGCCGCAGAGGTGCTCGACGCTAAGGGTCCACGGGAAGCTCGGGCACCAAAGCCTCGGGTCGGGCACGTCCTCCTGCAGGCGCATCTTGAGAGAGAACCAGAGAGACAGCCGAGAAATCTGCTCGAGGGTGGTGGAGGCATCGCTCCCAGACTATCTTTTTTCCTTATATTCTTAATTTTCCTCCTGTAGAGAGACGTGTCCGACTTACGAGAAGCCGTCGAGCGCCGAATGCCAGCGGAGCGCAGTCCAGGGGAACTCTCAAAAAGGCAAGCGGGAGGGAACGCTGAAGGATAAGGATTGAAACCGTGGGGGCCGGCTCGGGGGGGAACGTTTCGGGTTCGAGATGAGAGGCTTTCGGATGTTCTCGATTGCTCTCAGCATTTCTCCAGCCTCGGGATGCCTTCCAACGGCTGCGCCTTGGCGAAAGCGTTCCGTGGGTGCCTGGATTGTCCGACAATGCCGCAGAGAGCCGAGGGCGCGCCGGACGCAATTGAAAGCCAACTGAGGGAGGCTGCAGACAGGCTGCAAGCACGCCGAAGACACGCACAGTGCAAGCGAACACGCAGCTGAGACAAACCCTGGGGAAGGTCCTCGAGGAATTCGTCGTGGGTCCCCTGCGAGCAACGAGGCGGCAACGGGCGGCAACCTCGCTGGACCCACCCGCACGAAGCGGCAACGAGGCGGCAACGGGCGGCGACGTGACAACAACGCGGCGAAACCTCGCCGCACAACCCAGCTCACGAGTCGGCAACGAGGCGGCAACAGGGCGCACGAGGCGGCAACAAAAGCGGCAACGTGGCACAACCTCTCCAGACCCACCCAGCGCACGAGGTAGACCGCGGAGGAGTCGGGCGGCAACGCCGCGAAACCACGCCAGACCCACCCAGCGCACGAGTCGGCAACGAGGCGGCAACGAGAAGTAAAATGGCGAAACCTCACCGAACACACCAGGCGCACGAGGCAGCACCGAGTCGGCAACGTGGCGAGACCTCGCCAGGCCAACCCAGAGCACGAGGCGGCAACGAGGCGGCAACGGGCGGCAACGTGGCGAATCTTCGCCTGATCCAACGAGCTGCTTAGTGACCGACATGAGAAACCCTAAGTGCAGGCACTGTTTTGGGAAACGTCAAAGACACCTCGCTGTCTGGAGATGTGAACGCAAAGGGTTTGTCCATATCGAGCACAGTGCCCTGTCGCGAATGGTGTATGTGTGTGTGTGTGTGTGTCATGTGCCTCGGCTGGTCACAGTCGCCCTGCTCCTCCCTGCCCTGGCTTCCCCCTGCTTCCCCCCACTCTCACCTCCTTTCTCGAAACTGCCCCCTCGCGAGATCTGTGATTAATCTCCTACGGGTGCATCCAACTTCTCCACGCTGCGTGAGCTGGCCGGGCCCGCGCGCTCCCGCCTGGCTTGACATATGCCGGGCGCGGCCTGACCGACACCTCGCAAAGCATCCCCTTCCGTGACGTCCCCCTCGCACTTCGACCTCCCCTCCGGCCGCACGCGCACGTCTCAGGGCGAGGCGAGGGGGGCGCCACGGCAGGGGGGAGGGCTTGCCAGGCGTCCGTTGGGCCGCCCCTGGTCCCCCTTTCGGAACCACCGAGCCTTGGGGGGGGGAGCGGCCTGGCCACCGCCTGCTCTGCCTCCTCCTCCTCCTCCTCCACCTCCTCCTCCTCCTCCTCGTCCTCCTCCTCCTCCTCCTCCTCCTCCTCCTCCTCTCCTCCTCCTCCTCCTCCTCTCTCTTCTCTCCTCCTCCTCCTCCTCCTCTCCTCCTCCTCCTCCTCCCTCCCTCCCTCCTCCTCCTCCTCCTCCTCCTCCTCCTCCTCCTCCTCCTCCTCCCTCCTCCCTCCTCCTCCTCCTCCTCCCTCCTCCTCCTCCTCCTCCTCCTCCTCCTCCCTCCTCCCCTCCTCCCTCCTCCTCCTCCTCCTCCTCCTCCTCCTCCTCCTCCTCCTCCTCCCCCTCCTCCCCCCCCCCTTCGGGGGGCCTCTGTCGAACGCGCCGTCGCACGGCCACCGCCTGCACAGCGGCTCGCCAGGCTCGGCGCCTGGCGCGGCGAAGGCGAAGGAGGGATCAGGAGGAGGGATCCGGCGGGGAAGGAGAAAGAAATGACGATGATGATGCTGATGCTGCTGCTGCTGCTGATGATGATGGTGATGATGGTGATGATTCATGGTAATCGATGATGCTGATCCTGCTGATGATGCTGATGATTATGCTGATGAATGATGGTGCTGCTGTTGCTGATGATGATGATGCGGTCGCCACTCAGGTGTTCCTTATCAGATTCATAGAGCGCGATCAGCCTGCCTCTGAAGCACTTGAGCTAATCCCCACCCCGTCTCTTGCGGGTCCTGGTATCGTTGAAAGAAGAGTTGACGATGCCATGAACGAGCTTAGCAGGCTGCAACGCAGTAATAGACAAATAATGGCATGTGAAGATCAGCATTCTATCCTCAGACAACCACTCTCCAGAACCAGCAGGAATGGACGGGATGACAGAGGGAGCCAGCGCAATGATAGCGCGACATGACACATAGTTTTAAGACGTGGTCGCCCCCCAACGCTTGACAGCCGGAGCGACAGACCTGGCGACCTTGGTTAAATCGGGCAGACGTCCACAACCCGTTGCAAATAGACCGTAAGAAAACTACACAAATGAACGGTGCGATGGTGGCGGCAATGTTGAATTGCGAAAACAGTGTCGGGATGTTCAAGCTGTGCCTGAGGCCAACACTAAGAGATTGCAGGAACATGAATATCGGGCTGGGAAGCTGAGAAGGGGAAACGCGCAAGGCAAGAGTTGTACGCATAGATGTTCTGAGTGAGCCAAGAGCCAGCCTACGGATAGAATTGAGCCTCCTTGAGCTTCTAAAGAGGCCCATCCCAACTAGACTGCGCCACACCAGACGAAATGAACATTCCCAGATATCAGGCAACGGTCCCAATCCAAAACTTGGAGACATCAAGACCAGCTCCTTGAAGCAAGGGGATGCCAGTGGCCATGCCCAGGCCCGCAGGAGGACGAGTGCTGCACCTCTTAGGGTTCAAGAGAAGACCAGCGACCCACGCGGCCTCCATCATCGGCTGCAACACAACGGGAATTGCGATAACAAGATCCTTGGATACGACCCAGATGCCGTCGGCAAAAGCGAAGGGCAGTTTCAGGATTTGGTCGAAGAGCTCTCCAGATGTCGGATCGCCGACGACGATGATGATGGTGACGAATCAATGGATATGATGAGTATGATGGTGATAAAGATGATGATGCTGATGATGGTTATGCGGATGCTGATGATGACTATACCGACGAGGATGGCGAGGATAATGATGGTGGCGATGATGATGATGATGATGATGATGATGATGATGTGAAGAGGAGGATGGGAAGGGATGGGGGAAGAGCGGAAGAGGGAGGAGTAGAGTGAAGCGAGAGGGGGAGGAACATCCACCTATGAGGGTGGGGAGGAGGGAAACAGGAATGCTGCATACCAAGGCTGGGCAAGATACATACTATCTTCTAACCTCGTTTCCCGCCCTCCCCGTGGTGAGAGGCAGGGGGAAAGGGAGTGGGGGAACGAGACCTTCCCCCGTTCATCATTCTCTCTCTTCCAGTCAGGTTGGTTTCTGGTTGGTCTCTGACTGGCTGGCTGATTTCAAGTTGACTTCTGGTTGGCTCCTGATTGGCTTCTGGTTGTCTGGCTGGCTGGTTGCTTGGCGTCTGGTTGGCTTTGCGGCCAAAGCTCCTCAAAATTAGACGTAGATTGGCAACACCAACAACCAACACAAACCAGAAATCAACCCACACCGCTTAGTCGGTATTAGACATACATGGATGGTTTCAGAGCTGATTTTTATCCACAACCAGGGGAACCAATGTCCCAGAATCCCCAGCGTCGGTGGACATGGCTTTCTCTCTCTATATATATACACATATATTTATATATATATATATATGTATTCCTCTTCCCATCTTGTTACAAGCCGGGGGGGGGAACCCCCCTCCCCCCCGCCCCCCAAAACTGGATCCCGAGGATCGGGGGCTTCTGGGCCCCCTGGACATCCTTGCCAGAGGTCCCCCGGCTCGTCCCGTAACTCCTGGGGGCGTTTAGCCGGGTCCTGCCAGCAGGCCGCAAACGATCAGAGCGGTGATCAGAGAGGCCGAAGAGAGACCCAAGACAGCACAGGAGCGCTCCAAGATGGACCCAGATAGCCTCCAGAGGCCCCCAAGCCGGCCCAGGAGGCCCTCAACAGGACTCCCAGAACGCAAATACCGCTTCATTGTCATCGGGAAACGTACGTTTCTAGCACATTCGCTGTTCGGGTCTTGACAGCGTCCAACACAGCCAAATAGGCATCATGTATCGCCCCAAGACTGGCCAAGAAAACCCCGAATGGGCAAAACATATGCACAACAGGCCCTTACAAGGCCCCCAAGAGAAGCCCAAGAAGGCCATGGGAGGCCCCCCAAAAGGCCATGGGAGGCCAACAGGAGGACCACGTAGCCCCCGCAAGGTCCCTAGAAGGCCCAAGCTCCCCAACACGGCCCAAAATGGCTCCAAGACGGCTCGAGACGGCCCCAAGCTGGCCCACAAGGGCTCCAACAAAGCCTACACGGCGTTTTCCACGAAACTGACACGAATCCTGGACTCGCAACCACATATCCCAGAAATTTGTTGCGAACCCAGGATTGGGTGCATCCCCTTTAAGAATTACTTGCGTTCGCGTGCCCCGTTGCGACCCGCTGCAACCCACTGCAACATTCTTCGCCCTCCTCCTCCTCCTCCTCTTCCTCCTCCTCCTCCTCCTCTTTCAACCGCTCCACTACTCGTCCTCCCCCACATCCGCTTCCTTTCCTCGCTCCCCGAGATTTCCTCCCTTCTATCCTTCGCCCTCCACCCGGCGCCTTTTGGGAGCCTCCAGCCCAGGAAGGGCCAGGGACCGCCCGAACTTTCGAAGACAGACTTCGGAAAACCTCCGCAGGGAAGGGGCCAAATTTTCAAGGCCACTAGGGATGGCGCGAACGACCAACATAGGCAAAGCCTCAAGGAGGAAGGTGCATGGCGCGAAACGCCAATACAGTCTTGTGTGTATATGTATATGTGTATAAATCTATATATGTATATACACGCACTATTGGACCCTTGGGGACCGGACTATATCTACATCCAACCCCTTCAAAGTTCCAGGAACATCCGTTTCAGACGGTGGACGCTTACAGAGAAGAGGTTCCATCCATGCTTGAGGGGGATCGTTAAGAGGGAACCCGACTCTGAAGGGAGAAACTTGAAGCTGGAATCGGCGATGCAGTGCTGAAAGGCCAGAGATAGGCCCCCGAAGGCGAATCCGCACGTTCCTTCCAAACATTCAGCGACGAGTGGGCGATTGGGGGTCCATGCATCCCCCCTAAGCCAAACAAAGAAATCTAAAGATCTGTCTAATATCCTCGCTGCCGAGCCCCTGCTCACGCCCATCCTCGTCGTCCTCTTCCTCCACTTCCTCCTCCTCCTCCTCCTCCTCCTCCTTCTCATTCTCCTCCTCCTCCTCCTCCTCCTCCCTTCTTCTCCTTCCTCGTCGTTCTCCCTCCCACTCCTTCCTCTCGTCGTCCTCCCTCCCTGCTCGCTCCTGCGCCCCTCCTCGAGCCCCCCCTGCTCGTCCCGCGTCGTCCCTCCTCGCCGTCCCTCCCTAGACCCCCGACGTCGTGATTGGTTTTAAAACGTCGACCCCCAAGGGTCGAGACCCATCATCCCACCTCCTGCGGAATCAAAACCGGAATCGGCAAGAATCGGGAACGCCGGATCGAAACCGGAATCGGCATCCGCGCGCCGCCTCGGAATCTGAAACCGGAAAACGCCAGAGGGCCGGGGTGGAACCGGAAGCGGCAGGGGCGAACCGACATCGGATCGGGTCGGGTCGGAGCCGGGCCTGCCCGGAACCGGCTTCTCTCTCCGAGTCGCTGGTGGGCGGTCCCGAGGGCCGGCAAGGGCCCCCCGAGGCCGAAGGTGGCGGAAGCGCTGGGCGCCGTGAGCTTTTCGTAGCGGCTCGCGGGGGCCTGAGCCACCCCCCTCCCTCGCCTCCTCGAGGCTCCCTCCTCGCGCCCCCCCTCCTCGAGAGCCCCCTTTCGAGCCCCTCCCTCCCTCCCTTCCCCTCAGCGAGCGCTCCCTCCTCGCCCCTCCTCGTCCCCCTTTGTCCCTCCCTCCCTCCCTCCCGCTCGAGGATCGATGAGGAGGAGGAGGAGGAGGAGGAGGAGGAGGAGGAGGAGGAGGAGGAGGGGGAGGAGGAGGAGGAGGGGGAGGAGGAGGAGGAGGAGGAGGAGGAGGAGGAGGAGGAGGAGGAGGAGGAGGAGGAGGATTTTTGACATCAACCGTGCCCAACAGACGACGGATCCGCCGTCGCCCCCTGCTCCGTGGCCTGGATGAAGGCAGGCCAGCAAGCAGTGCGAGAAGAAGGAAAGGGAGGGTGGGCGCGACAGCCACGGGGTGATTTCCCACAACGGGGAGGATCCCACGTGGCTAACCGCCCGCCCCCCAACGCCAAGACCAATGAGAGAGGTCGAGGCCGAGGCGCCCCTTGGGCGGGCACGAGGGGCACCTCAAAGTCCGAAGCATCGGACCACGAAAGGCTGCGGCGGACGTGAGGTACCTCCCTCTTCGAGGGCAGGCGCGCTGACGCGCACCAGCAGACCTCCGGGGCGGCGTTGCGCCCATGTGGGCTGCCCCACCGCTCCGACGGGCGGGGGTCGACAGACAAGGCAACGGTCGATGCGAGACGCCTCCGTGCCAAGTCGGAGCCAAAACGAAACCACTCGTGCTGCGCACCTTCCCCCACAACTGGGGTGCCTGACACACGTGCAAGTGACGCAAACGACACGCACAACAAAACACAAGGCGACGCCAGGACGACGCAGCTGGCCAACCCCTGGTGTACTGAAACGCCAGGACGGTGGCCAACTACGCCCCTGGTGGGCCTAACTCAAACCGCCGGGCCAGTGCTCCCGTGATGGGCCCTCCAGATGCGGCCCGTTGGCCAACTGGGCGGAGCGATCAA